TAATTATTACTTTAGTTCGGTTTCGATTCTGTCGTTTTCTATTCTCAAAGATTCGAGGGTATTCGGCAACTATTTTGATGCGAAATGAATGCAGAGTTAACACCAAATTAATATGACAGTAAATGCTAATCGAACAAGTTGTTGACACAATGTTAACACACTCACTGATTGTATCAGTTGGTCCCTTTGAGTTAAAACGTCAATTTTATCATCATTATCACTAGAATTTTTAATCAATTCTTTCCTAATAACGTAATAAAAATTGGGAGTGATTTTGGAGCCATTTTTTGAATTCAGATTTTGGCCAATTAACTTTTAAAAATGGCCATAACATTAAAAATTGAAATTGGAATCAGCTCAAACTTTCTATGTAATAATAGTTATTAATATTACCTGACTTTATCTTGAAGATCAGAATGTCTGTAGAGAAGGAAAGAGAGAAAGAGAGAGAGTAAGAGCATGTAGGAGCATTTAAGCACAAATGCTTAAAGTGATTGCCCCATTATTATTATTATTATTATTATTATTATTATTATTATTATTATTATTATTATTATTATTATTATTATTATTATTATTATTATTTATTTATTATTATTTATTTTATTTTTAGTAAGATACAAGAGCTTGAAGCAGAGTTAGTCAAAGTCCAGTCCAAGTACGTCATATTACTGAAAGAAGCTCAGACTCCGAAACACAGTAAGACTATTGTATTGAAGGATGTGCTGTATTTTGTCTATGTCCTACATTCTCTATTGTCCACATTTCCTTCTCTTTACTCTTCTCTCTCTCTCTCTCTTTGTGTCTTCATCTCAAGGCCATGATTCAGATGTTGTCAGTTAGTGATGCACCGATACACATTTTTCAAAACCGATATTAACCAGCTGATTATTTTGTGCAAATTGCATTAACATGGTTGATACCGATACTTTTATGAAAATGTTATTGAGAATAAAAATATTCAATTTTTTATCCTTAACAACAATCATTGATTAGTGTCATTAATGTTTATAGTTAAAAATTGGTAGGCATCTCTGCTTTCTCTGTACTCAAACTGTTTTTCATGTCATTTATAGTGAAAGACAAGAAAAACAGTTTTTAAAAACAATAATAATAATAATAAAACATAAAATATTAAAAAAAAACAAGGTTAAGTAGGATTCCGAACGACCAACGAAAATACGAAAT